CCCCACCAGATTTCATAGGGCGTAGCATTTTTGTTCTTGTGGACTAGAGTGCGGTTTAGTAGATATACGGCTGTGTTGATCGACTCTGCCCATAGTCTCTTCGTGAGGTTTTTGTCAAGTAGCATTGTGCGAGCACATTCGACGATTGTTCTATTTTCGCGTTTCGCCTTGCCATTTTGTTGTGGTGTACGGAGCAGTACTTTCTAGAATTATGCCATATGACTTGAGATACTCGTGGAAAGCAGTGTTTGAGTATTCTCTCCCGTTATCGGCACGGAGTATCTTTATGTTTCTGTCAAATTTGTTGTGTATCATTCGTTCGAATTCTTTGAATTTGTTTAGAACGTCTGCTTTGTGTTTTATGAAGTATATTGTTCTGTAGTTACTTGCATCATTGATGAATGATACATAGTATCTGGATCCTCCGATTGATGTCTCTGAGAAGGGTCCGCATACATCTGAATGGATGTATTCTCCTGGCTTCCAGTTCTGGTCTGTGTGTGTTTTGTTGAATTTCAGGCGATGAGCCTTGCCAAACTGACACGTTTCACAAAAGAAAGTGTTTTTGTCTGCAGGATTGACACCTGTTACCGCTTGACTGTCTATGGTTTTTTGAAGAGTTTGTTTACTCACATGTCCGAGTCGTTTGTGCCACTCATGTAGGCTTGTCACTGTAGCGTGGATTTCGTTTGGTTTTTCATTCACTATCACTTTGAATAGCATTTTGTATATGTTGTTGTCTAGCCTTACTCCCTTGGCTTCTACTGTGTTGTTGTAGGTTAGGATGACTTCTTTGTTACTGAATAGGACTTTGTAGCCTCTTGTGGTGCATACACCGACGGAGAATAGATTTTTCTTTAAACTTGGTACGTACAGCACATTTTCTATTTTTGCTTTGATCCACTTGCCGTTGATCAGTTTCTCAATGTGCACTGTACCGACACCTTTTACTGCGCACTGGCCATCGTCACCGAGGGACACTGTATCGCCCTCTCTGGGTTGTAAGTCATGTAACCAATGCCGCCTGTATGTTATGTGTCGGGACGCACCGCTGTCGGTAATCCAGATTTCTTTTAGGTCACGTGATATAGCCGTGTTCTCACTTGATAGAACAAGTGACTGGAGCTGTTTGTGCACTTTGGGCGATGTCTCGGCCAGAAATGCACTGTCACTTGTTTTCTTTTCTGTTTTGTCTTGGTAGTCTTTTTTTCTTTTACGGCATTCACGAATGTAATGTCCTTTCTTCTTGCAATAGTGGTACTCGACGTTGGACTTGTTGATGTCTGTTGTCTTGTTTTTTCTTGATGTATGTTTTGTCTGTTGACCAGTTTTTCTTTTATTTGAGCTCGTGACTGCGAATGCACTGGTTGTGTCATCTTCTGTAGTAAGTTTGTTTTCTTCTTTGATTAGCCGTTCGAGAAAGACGCCTACTGTCTGGCTTTCCGTTGGCACGCTGTCCCATGCTGTTACGAGCGTGTTATATTTGGCCGGTAGCGAGCCCAAGATCTTAGCCATGATGTCTGTTTCATCTATTGTTTGTCCGGCATCTTTTAGTTGACTGGCTAAGTTTTGTACGTTTGTTACATGTTGGACAACTGAGTCGCTGGAATTCATCCTGTGCTCATGATATCGTTGTAATAATAGTAATTTGCTCGATGCGGATTTTTGCTCGTATGTTCGCGTTAGACTCTGCCACATCTCTCTCGCAGTTGTACATGTTATAAGACTTTGTAACTGTTTCCTTTCCATTGACATGGAGATGATGCTCATTGCCTTGGCGTTGTCCTTTGTCCAAGATTTGACTGCTTGGCTAGTCCTTTCACCTGGCGGCTTTTCTCGGGTTCCGTCGATGAGATCTTCCAGGCCGTGGGCAATGAGCAACTGCGTTATTTCAAACTTCCATGATAGGAAGTCTGACCCGTTGAACTTTGTTAGTCCTCTGGTGAGATTCTCTTCCATGGTTACCAGTGAGTGGTTTCTTTTCGCAATTCTTGATCACTTTGATCACTGCTAGCACGTCACAGAGATACGATGTGTACACGGGATTCACCAGGAGCACACTTAGCCACGTTGAGTTCACAAGATTCAATACGAGCACACTGGGCCCATAAACTGTTGTGTATTTGTCTTGAATCAGAATGTTATGAATATGTTTATAGAATAAACATATTGTCACACATACACTCACTAGTACTTTGAGCATGTATTTATTGAAACAGGTAAGTACAGGTAGGTGATATATGTAGATGCGCACGGTCTGACGAGTGGGAAGAGAATGCCGGCACGAACGTATTGAACAAGCATGTTCATCAAGAAGAGAAAAACACAATGTCGGGCCGACGCAGGCAGGAGCATGGTGACATGCGCGTTAGCATAGTAGCATGCGCAGATGCTTGTGCGCATAGAGCATGTTAAACAATATGTTCAACAATTATAAACATTGTAAAATACATTTTTGAAATCATGCAGGTTTTACCTGATTAACCATTCTCCAGGAAGGAGTAATTACTTAAGTAATAAAAATATAAACATTAAAAAAACTTTGCAACTTATCGGGCAACGTTTCTCATACGTTTCAACGAAATCGGACCGAAACTTAAAAAGCGGACATTTCGACGTTTCCGCTACGTTACTACGACGTTTTAGAAACGTTTGACGAAACGTTGCTAAGTTTTGGAAAACCATGGACATAGAAATATAGGGTCGGAGCATAGATCATGGACATAGGAATATAGGGATGGAGCATAGAGTTGCGGGGGGGGGGAAGCCACTGCGGGGAGGTGCGACGAGGTAACATGTGCTTAAATATGATTGGTTGTTGTTGTGCGCAAGCGCAATGACATACTTGAATTGTACGAAAGCAACGAGAGCGGGGAAAAGGATACGCAAATTAACATATATTCAATACATAATACATTCACGATATAAATAAATAATTATGGTGCTGTGCTGTGTCCCAAATTGTCGCAATAGGTCAGACAATCAAAATTGGAAACAAACTACCAATACAAACAGAAATAAGAAAATTACATTTCACAGATAATAAATTTGTGTTATTTTAAAATAATAGTAGTCTAGTTTTAGAAAAGGTGTTTGATATTTTATTTGTATTCACATTTAGTTTTCTAAAAAATAATACTCGCAACTTGTGGAAAATAGTATTATTTTATATATATGTTGTTGTTTTATAATATATATTTTGTATTGTTTTATAATATATATTGTTGTTTTATAATATATGTATTATAATATACGTATTAGTAAATTTAATAATATAATATAAGGAATATATATCTTATGATAACTACCTTTACGAAAAAGAACTACTGGCAGTAATATATTGCGGCAGTGGTACGAAAAAATTACTGGCATTCTGTGTAATTGCCAGTAATATTCTCAGTGATTCCTGTAATACCTAATAATATTCTTATGTGATTGTCAGTAACATTTATATTACTGACTTTATTTATATGTAATAGGCAGTAGTTCTTTTTCGTAAGGGTATTTACTGTGTTTTTTATATTTTATTTACTGCAACTGTTAACATTATATTAATTTATGTGCCCTATTGTAAGATTTATTGTATTTTTTTTCTTTTTAACTTACAAACAAATATGTTGATTTTATAACACAAATATATACAATATTTTTATAAAATATATATATATGTATAACATTTATTTTAACTGTTAATTAACATTATAACAGAATAGCTTTTAATTTTTTTATATTAATTATTTTTATTCATTTTATATTAAGTATTTGCTGACATTGTGACGTTTTTCGGAGTTCTTATGGATTTTTTGCGTCGTCCCGCCCGAAACGGAAGTACGAAATCGGGACACGGACGGAAGTCCGCGAGATAGGGAACGTCTATATCGGCAGGAGAGAAAAGGGTGATAAACCGAGCACACCACTGCGCNGAGCCGACGGATTCTTGGTTATAATTTTGGGCGCCAGACGCGTAACCGCGTCAAAATGTGCGTCGNTCAACACAATGGGCCGACTAGCTCTATTTGGAACGGAGAGGGGGTGGGTCTGACGATAAATAAACAAGGCTGTCTCGAACGAATCTCGGATTAGGATCGCAATCAACCACACTGCAGATAGAGATAAAGAAATAAACAATTTATTATAACACCGCGGAATAAGATACGACTTGGCGAAAATAACAAAAAAAAAAATACAAAATAAACTTCACCGATATGATACGGCGAGATCGCTTTGTCGCGGCGGTAAGTGATTACAAAAGAAAATAAAGTAAAAGAAAATACAAAAGTACAGGGACAATTAACAAGGCACTTTAACCAGAAGCGTGATCTATCGCAGGACCAATCTCGTATATCGACTCGTGATATCGAGGACGCTACGTCGACGCGCTGACTTCATGGGACACAACGAAAGAACGAAAATGCTGCTTGGCGCTTTACTGGAACTCCAGGGCTTGTACTACTCAATAGAGTAATTACGCGACACGCACTTAGACCTACGAATTAATACCACAAAGTCTCGTGGAATCCGATTCTAGCCGCTGCCGAAAATTCGAAACTGTGGCAAAGGTTATGTCCTTGCCGGTACCAACACGCGAGATTCAGCGACTAGCCTCGACACGAGACTCGAGTAACGCGGATTCGTGGCTCACCAATTAAACGAGGACACCTCACCGTACGTCGTCGTCACTCTCCATCCGGCACAATAGCCAAATTTGCCGTTGAATGATAGCTCGTTGGGAGTGCCGTTAATGCTTCCGTCCTGTTCGATAGGTAGCGACCAAGAGAGCGAGGATCGCGACAGAGATGCCAGATTCTGAACACTTGGTAGCATGCGGTAGCAGCGGTAGCATGGAGGGGATGCGCACACAACCTCAGATCGTGTACGTGTGCGCTCGAGCTTCGGGCGCGATCGGACAGTAGAAAGAGACAGAGAAATGACTTTCTGTCTCGCTCTCGCTCGGGCAATACGACGTTCAACTCTCAATAATGTCGTAAGCGGCATAAGAAATGTCCGAATTCTCCGGCTCGTTTTCTGACTTATATAGTAGACTAGAATAGTAAATTTATTATTTTATTTGTACGCAGTTTTCTGTACATATAAATTTTATGTATACATACATATAAATGCAATTTTTAATTATAATAAAGAAAAGTCAGAAAACGAGCCGGAGAATTCGGACATTTCATGCCGGATATGAGCCTATTTCTCCAGAGAAACATATTATAAGTTTTCTTTGGTATGTTGGACATGAAAGCGCTGGCTATCGAGATGTGGCCGATAGATTTGGAATTACTATAAGTGCGTTGTACAATGTTATATCTCGAGTCACAAATTTTTTACTGTCTCTTGCACCAAATATCATCAGATTTCCTACATTGCAAGAGAGAGAGACCACTAAACAATTTTTTCTTCAACACAAAAAATTTCCTGGAGTAATAGGTATATTTTAAAAGTATTATTTTTAAACATGTAGGATTTCGATCATTTAATTACTAATAATTTACTACAGGTGCCATAGATGGATCGCACATTAGAATAGATAAACCAATAGAAGATAAAGATTCATACATAAATAGGAAGCACTTTTTTTCTATTCAATTACAAGGCATTGTTGATCACGAACAAAAGTTTATGAATGTCTTTATTGGTTACCCTGGATCGGTTCATGATGCAAGAGTTTTTAGGGAATCACCGGTGTACAATAGCCTGAATCAACTTTGTGGAGGTTTGTAATTTTTCTTCAACAATATCCAAATGTATAGTCGGATGCTACCGTAAAGAACTTCAATGATTTCCGCAATATACTAGAACTTTGTTTATTTTCCGCTCTTGGAACGTGAACTATTTATTTATTTTTTGTTTGGAAGGGCTCTTCACTACTCTTGCAGAATAAAGGTGGATTTAAATTAAACGGCTAAAGTAATTGGCTGCTGCATTATATATGTAAATGCGCAAGTTTTGTTTGTTCATTTCGTCAAGTGCAAAAGTGAGAGTAGGAGTTGTAAAGGTAACTGAGTTAAAAAAGCTGAATTAAAAAATAGTCGAGTGATTCCGCAGAAAATAAGTGAATGGGAAAGTACATGAACGGAAAATAAACAAAATTCCAGTGTAGTGTGTGCAATCTTTTACTGAAATAACTTTCTAATTTGCAGAAGATGGATACTTACTTGGAGACAGTGCGTATCCTTGTTTACAACGGCTGATTGTTCCGTATAGAGATACTGGACATTTGACACGAGCTCAAATAAATTTTAACCTAAGATTGAGCTCATGTCGAGTCATCATTGAAAATACATTTGGTAATCTAAAACAGCGCTTTCGTCAATTATACCATTTTAAGTTGCGAGACATTGTTCGAATGATTCAGGTTGTGCATGCGTGTTGTGTTCTGCACAATCTGGCGAATGCTAACGATCTGCAGTTATTTGAACCACCTCTCNATGAAAATCAACCAGATCCTGATGCTGTAAATGCATTGATCAACATGGCTGAAGATGCTAATGCAATACCACAAGATAATCAACAGGGACAAGACCTTAGAGATGAAATATGTAGACAGCTAGCTGCGCAACTACAATAAATAATCCAATAACAAGATATTCCAACTAAATAAGATGTAATTTACGATATATATTTATATATATGTTTGTATTATAAGTATATTTGTATATGTTATATTTATTTTATAATCTTTCAACCATATATATTTCTATATTAGAAGTAACAATAAATATATATTNACTAAATATGTTTTTTAACTGAATATAAAAAATCTGTTAATAAAGTATTTTTCTCTTCTATTAGATCATTCCTTCTTTTTCTCTGTTGAATAGCTTCCTCTCTATGATTNTCCATCGCAGTCATATATTTGTCCTGTCTATCTTTTATCTCCTTATAAGTGTCGAGGATCTGCGTTAGAATGTCATTTTGCTTTTCTTGATATTTTTCAAGTGTCTTCCTATAGTCTTTCATTTCTTTTTGGCATTGTTCTAAGGCCTTTGCCGTTGTTCCTGCGGCGACTCTTCTTTTGGCAACAGCAGTGAGATTGTTAGTAGTTTCAAGTACTGGTCCGGTCATTGCATCACATTCATTAGGAGAAGTCACATTTTCAAGTTCTTTGCTTCCTTCTACATTTGCACTCGTTGGCAATACAGGTGTTGCGGAGACTGGCATCAACATTGGAGCACTAATGATACAAATAAAGATGTTTCTTCCTCGGATATATCTATCAAAGGGCCGTGTTTATAGTCGAAGCTCAAGGTAATGCTTAAGACTGTCTCGATGAAGATGGTCTTATTTATTTAAGATCATTTCTCAAGAACGATATAATTCACAGTCGCAATATAAGGTGATCTTCGTCGAGAAATTCTTCTTTAAGTAATTCTTATTTGATATAAGATTGTCTTTACGAAGATGTGCTTAAGACAATGCTTATTTATAATTCGGTTATTTTCGTAATATTTCCGTTGGATCCACCAATAGAAATATTGGTTCATGTTATTAAGTAGATATACTATCTAGTTTAATATATATATATTATTAGTCGTGACTAATATTAAACATTCTTGGCTGAAGTTGGATTGCATCAGCCGTATTGGTTAGATGTGCGTAGTTACGCTGTGAATATTTTTGGACAATTGTCGGTGTTTTACACCACTTTCTTTATTATTATCTTTAATTTAAACAAATATACAACTCCGTAGCTTGGCGTCAGGAACCCAATCCACGGTTTTAAACCTGTTATCAAAAAGACATAGAATAGCGTGTTACGTCCGGACCTACGGTTCCAATCGGGTCCTAACGGAGGAACGCAACTTGACACACGACACTTTTGTGTATTATATCTCGGCACACTGACCTAATGAGATAAGGCAAGCATGCGAGTCGAGCGAGACTGTTCAACGACGTAGTCACGTCAACGGACTTGCCGATATTACTTGTCTAACGTCTTCTCACTCGTCGGTCGTCTTTTAGGTCTTAGAAACGAATCTAATTTATCTGGGACAGGACCTGGTGATCACGTGATGAGATTACAAGAATGAATTTTCAGGATAGAAGTTTGAAGTTTAATTAGTTGAAGCCGTTTTCATTCTTATAAGCATATAAATCATTTTATTCAAAGTATTAACATTTAAGTTTATCCAAAAATATTCTTACGCAAGTTGAATTAAATAATCGGACGTGTGATGAAGTTTGGTGTGAATTTGAGTATATCTTGGCATTATTACTATGTTTGATCCTGGACGTTTGTTATTAACATCACTGTTAATATTTTCAATATTTTAAAATCCTTGCGTAAATGAGCACCGTTACTATTTAAGTTATTGCCGGATAGACGGTGTTTGGTACGCTTCGGTTCGCTCGCTCGACGGGCAGCGGTTCTCCGCCGCGGTTGTTCGGTTTCGAATATCGCGTTGTTAGAATCACGGTTGATTTTCGGAGCGGTATGACAACTACATATGTTTCGCTACTGCTCAAAGTTCGATAGTGGTGATTGGAAATCGGCAGCGGTTCAGAACAACTGACGTCGTGAAACGCTAATCCGATAGAAATGGAAGTCAGCGGCAGCTCGGAACGACACACAAGGTCGTGAGCTGCTAATCCGACAGGAATGAAAAGTCAGCGGTGGCCCGGAACGACACACAAGGTCGTGAGCTGCTACTCCGACAGGAATAAAAAGTCAGCAGCGGCCCTGATCGATTCGCAAGATCGTGAGTAGCTAGTCTGACGGAAAAGGAACCGGCAGCAGTTCGGAACGGTTTGATACCGCGAAACGCTGGTCCGGCTAGGATGTCGAGGAGAAGGACTTACTAAATGAAGCAGTTATTAATTGAATTGTCGAATTTAATCCTTTTCTTCCGAATATTAACTGTCTCGAAGAAAGTTTTACTGTGTGCGCGGGAACCTTAAATTTGTTTTGCAAAATTATTGCATTAGTAAGTACTCACTACTTATTGTTTACAGTAGAATGTCGAGATGAGTGATTGATTCGCTTCGCCCAAAAGTCAGGAGTCTGTCAGCTGGACTCAGGTGGGATGAAGTGATCGTCTCCTCCGATGGGAGTTGTCACGAGTCGCACTGTTCACTCGGATTTACGTGCCGAGATCGATGTCAAATTAAGAATCGTTTGGATTGTCGAATTTCAGACCGAACAGGAAAAGCGAGTATCTTTTCGTATGACCGAATTGACTCTAAGTTAAATTGTTGAATTGAACTTCGAAAAATTGATTTGGACGAGAAGGAATAAAACTGTGTTAATAATTGTAATGCTGGTTATGGAGCGCGCTCTCCAATGTTCCAACGCCTTATATATGATGATCTCGGGGCATCAACTTTTCTGATTTTTGCCAATCGTCTTTAGATTTTACTTTCCCACTCTTTACTGATTAAAATTTCGATCCTTCATTTGCTAATCCGACCAGGCGAGATTACCAATCACCGACAATCATTCTTTCTGACTCACTCAACATTTGTTTAAACTTTATTATCTGCACGTGCAATTTCCTGTTTATTTTCGGTGCCATAACATTCCTTGCTAGAGATTAGCGGACCGCCTAAACTATCTAAGTTTATATTCGCGAATTATTCGCGAACCAAACATCCGGGCTACTTGTTGACTAATTAGCTAGTATTCCTTTGAAAGTCGGTAAGAGTGATTAGATAAAAAAAATTGCGATACGGATTTGTTTATCTTAGTTCAATAAGTCCTTTGTTCTCTGCTCAAGGATTGTTATTTAAAAATTAATTCTAAGGCGTGTTACGTCCTGGGGACTCCACGGGCCCCTTTTTCTTGCAACGCGACGCGCCAACGCATAACAAATTTTCTTTTTTGTAAATAACGAAAAGCAATAAATAACTCGAACGGGTCTCCTATTGTTTGGAAACTTAAACTCCAGACGATAGGAGAGCAAACGGAAATCCCATCGGCGCCCGAAAAGATAAACCGCGCCTAGTACTAACTCGAAATTTTGAACTTATTGTTTAAACATCCTAAACAAACCCGGATATCTTCGGGCCAGGAAGAACACCGCTCATAAAAATTAGACCAGCCGGATCAAATAGAACTCCGGCGCCACGAGCACTTTTATTATAAACAAATAGCAAAGGGTCTTGGTGGCGTGATCGAAAACCACCACTCTCCCTTTTTCCTTCTCCGGAAAATCGGACGAGCCGACCGAGCCGAGAGATCGTCGCCGATTGGCGATCTCACGAAGTTTACCCGACCACTAACTAACAAATAGGAAGTGGCAAAGCTCGACTGAGTTTTCCGATTGGAAGAGTCTTCGCTTACTCAAAATTGTATATAAGCCAGGACTCTCAGAACCGAAGGCAGATAATGCCGCAGATTTTAGAAGTACTACAGCGAGTGAGTGAGTGACAGTGAGTGCAGAATGTGAGATCCCAGAGTGAACTACTCCGCCGCAACAGCCTAGAACCTTTTATTAATCAACATCACTGGTCCGCAGCAAATAGTAAGTCCACATTGTAAGTATTTTTATTCGGAGATTCCACTGTTCGCGTACTTACCTCCCGACTTTGCGACTGATTTTCGGAGAAATCGAGAAACGGTCAAAATAAACAAATACATAGACACACTCAAAAATTTGATTTAATCGGAAGAGCTACTCACGGTATATAGCCGTCTCGGGTGGCAGCCGAATTTTTCGGAAGGGTTACTCGCGGTGTATAGCCGTCTCGGTTGGCGTCCGAATTATTTCTTTTTCCTTCCTAAATCACGGAAACAAACAAAACCCGCTTATCTCCGAATATCAGTCGTAGAACCATGACATATTCAAATGTATTCCTATCATTAAATCTATCGGAACCTAAGAAATGAAACAAAACCGAATTTGTCAACTGACAGAAGGAAATACATTTCTAAGATGATCTAAGTTGCGTAAACATGGGTTAAAGAGGCTGGCTGCATTGAACAACTCGTATTCCCTCTCTCTCTCACACTTGCACTCTAGCTTATAGATTACTTTGTACGAAATGATTATGCGCTCCGTCATTGTATTAGTTTCAACACATCTGTATGTTAGTAATTTGCTAAGATTTGTCTTTTTTTAAATAAATATAACTACTTTATAATGTGTGGAATCAAACTAAAGAATTATTCTTTGTTATCCTTCTTTCTGTATAAGGAATCTTTCTTTCCCACTCTCACTTCCTCGTTAAAATCGCTAGGTCCTGTCCTTGGTAAATGAGATTTGCGTCTCAGACCTAAAAAGGGACCAACGAGTGAGTGTTTGCTAGACAGAATAAGATTGGCGTACGCCGTTGACTTGTCGACGAATATAAACAAACTCGCTTGACTCTCTCATAGCGGGACTTCCGTGTCTACTGTAAAGAGAGATATGGAAAACGACGCGTTTACTGTTGCGTCACTCCACAGCCCGACCGTATCCATGGGCCAGGACGTAACAGGCGCAAATCTTAAAGCTAGTTTATGTCTGGTTCCAAACAGAAGGGGACCGTGGAGTCCAGGACGTAACAAGCGTATGGACTAGCTTTATAGGTCCACTGAGCCAAAAGAGCACCAAACCAAACATTTTTGGCTGCGTTCCGATATTCACTGTACACAGCGCGTCACTGAATTGCGGAGTAGACGCGAGGGTCTAGAGGCAAAAGAAGCGGTTTCTCTTAGGAATAAATAGTACCAACGAGCACTGTACCAGCTGATTAGTAGCAATCGTTTATCTACAACTATGTCGCTTTATTTATTTCTAAGAAAAACCATCCCTTTTGCCCCTAGATCTCCGCACCTACTTCGCGAATTTTTGACGCGCTGTGTACAGTGTACTTACCATACTCACAGCCAGAGATCTATAGCAAGGAGAAACACTAACTTCATAGGTTTACTTTTTTTTAGAAAACGAATGCCAGAGTTTTATTTATTATTAAATAAAATAGATCAAACTAGCCTTTTATCCACTGATGGTGATTAAAATAAAAATCAGCTTTATTCTTGGGACGTTTTGAAAGTTGTTTATTAATTTCCGATCATCATCAGCCACTACATTAACAAAAAATTAATTATCTAATAATTAATTAGTATAAAACACCTCGGTGGTCTCGGTGCTAGCCGGCTAGAGTTTGCAACACTAATTCGAGAGTTTTGGCTGTAGTTACGCTGTGAGCCGTATCGGTTGAATGTGTGTAGTTACGCTGTGAATATTTTTGGACAAATGTCGATGTTTTACACCATTTTCTTATTATTATCTGTTAATATGCACAAAATGATATTCTTATGTCTTTCAGACGATAATAATGAAGTGGAAATTTGTGCCGACTTATGTGCAGAAGGTGCTATTAAGAAAGGTAAACTTGTGAACACTTATATTTTAGTTTAATATTTTATTAATTCTATTATTGCACACTATTGCACAAATTGATATTATTATGTTTTTCAGACGATAATAATGAGGTGGAAATTTTTGCTGATTTACGTGCAGAAGGTGCTATAAAGAAACTTCTCTTAAAACAATATATTTATACTAGTCATTATTTTTTTTTTACTAAGGAATTTCATAAATGTTTTTGTAAATAGAAATGACAACTGTTGGATTACATATCAAAGCAGCACTTAATACAAGTATGTGTTGAAAACTTTGAAAAAATAATAAATAAGTGTTAACAAATACTATGCGTTTAAAAAGCATTACATTTACAATACAAATAATATACACTCATCATAGAATGTCTTTTAGTTACAAATACATATACTCCATGTTCGGCTAAACATATCACTCAACTTTATAAACAAGATATCAAGCATGTTAATCATTTGGACAGCCTTCAAGGTAAAATTATAATTTGTAATAAATTTTGCTTCTAAATCAATATCATATCATTTAAATATATTTTTGATTACTGTTACGTCCTAGAGACTCCACGGTCCCCTTTTTCTTGCGACGCGCCAGCGCATAGCAAATCCTTTTTTTGTAAAAAAACAATAAATAACTCGAACGGGTCTCCTATCGTTTGGAAACTTAAACTCCAGACGATAGGAGAGCAAACGGAAATTATATCGGCGCCCAAAAAGATAAACCGCGCCTGGCAATAACCCGAAATTTTAGATAACGTGCAAGAAAAATGTATTATTTAAACACTTCGAGCAGCTTTCCAAACAAACCCGGATATCTCCGGGTCATGAAAACACCGCTTATAAAAATTAGAGCGGCCGGCGCAAATAGAAACTCCGGCGCCACGAGAATTTTTATTATAAGCAAATAGCAAAGGGTCTATGTGGCGTGATCGAAAAAAACAACACTCTCCCTTTTCCCTTCTCCGAAAAATCGGACGAGCCGACCAAAGCGAGAGATCGTCGCCGATTGGCGATCACACAAAGTTTACCCGACGACTAATTAACAAATAGAAACCAGCAAGGCCCAACCGAGTTTTCCGATTGGAAGAAACTCGGTGAGCACTCGCTGACTCAAAAGAGTATATAAGACGGGACTCTCGGAGCTGGAGTCAGAAAAACCTGCTGATTTCGCCGAGAGTGCAGCAGCAAATTCGCGACGAGTGAGCATAAAAAAGTTGCAAGTGCAAGTGCGAGCAGTGCGCCAAGAATCCGCCGAACACCGAAGCCGCACCAGGTTCCGAGCTACCTACCAAGCCATACGGGCCGAAGGGAGAAAGGAAATCGCAGCCAGCAATCATCTAAGTAGTAAGTTCACATCATTATATATACGGAGGTTCCACTTCTCGCGAAATTAAAAGATGACGTCGCGATTGATTTTCGGAGATATCGGGAAACGGTCAAAATAAACAAATATATAGATACACTCAAAATTCGGTTTAATCGGAAGGGCTACTCGCGGTGTGTAACCGTCTTGGGTGGCAGCCGAAATCTTTGGAAGGGCTACTCGCGGTGTATAACCGTCTTGGGTGGCAGCCGAAATCTTTGGAAGGGCTACTCGCGGTGTGTAACCGTCTTGGGTGGCAGCCGAATATTTTGGAAGGGCTACTCGCGGTGTATAGCCGTCTCGGGTGGCAGCCGAATATTTTTTCTTCATTTTCTTCCCCAAACCACGTAGTAAACAAGGCTCAACATCTCCGAAAACGGTCGCGAAGCCAAGAAATTACAATAACAAAAGAAAATACAATAATATAAATTGAGTGTAATTGCATAAAATCGTTTAAGTGGAACCCCGGCAGAGAACTTTGCGAACGGGTAAAAAGGCCCAGCGCTACGTAAAATTGCGACGAGCGGCAGCGCTCGCGCTAAACGAAGCGGAGCCGACCCGGCCCATTGACGCCACCCCTCCTTAGACATTAGGAAACGATTGTAGCAGCGACAATAAAATAAGAAACCCCACCGATACACACACAACTTCATTGCACGCGCACGCACACCCGCCGACACACTCGCACGTAGACACCTCTCGCCCACAAAATAATAGTAACAATGATCACGCGCACGTAGAAACACACACAGACACACATACACACGATGATTCGTAGTATGAAGCTCCCTTCTATTCACCTGTAACCCCCGATCCTCCCGCAGACGCTCAATCCTCCCCTGCTCCTCTCGTCAACAATTTATCGCCTTCACCTCTTCGCTCCCCTTCTCCAACACACCCCGAGTCCGCTTGTCCCGCAGAAAATTCCGCGGATCTGCAATCCGCGCCGACTCCACCCCCTCCTCGCTCTCCTTCCCCTCTACCTTCTACATCCGGGCAAGAACCCGCGGACGATGAATCCTCCGATTCCTCGCGATTAACCACCCCACCGCTCGATCCTAAATTCCAACATTTCTTCCGATTAGCCTCTACTTACCGAAAAGCAGATCCTAAAAGAATCCCCTTTATAATCGATCCTTTAACAATAGATCCTTCCGACCTTTTCCACTTGATATCCACCACCCCATCCAGAAAACTTCTCCCTGTCAAATTTCTTTATTTAGATGACATCCGCTTAGTCCCAGTCCGCCATTTTTACTCTATATTCCCCTCTAGTTCCGCTAAAATCCATGAGATTATAGAAATAGATCTAGAATGATTTCTATACTACGAATCGGCGTCTTACACATGCACCCGACACACTTACATTTGTAGAATTTCGCCGGAGGCCTTTTCACACACACTCTCGCGACACGCATACATACACATATATATATTCCCTCTCTTTAGCTTCCGAGCTATGACCCTCCGATTCATTGTAAAGTTCGCGACATCACATTCATCCACACGACAACACACCTAAAAATTGTAACAGTAAACACCCCTAAATGAATAAATTAATATTGTACGTAGTATAATCTTTTCCTTTTAATTAAGACGACCTCTCATCATCCACATCCTCAATCGATCGCACGGTCTCGATCTTAGTCCGTAGAGTTAATTCTCTAGACTTAAAAAGAGACCGACGGACGGGGCCTCATAGGATAGAGTAAGAGCGGCATACGTCGTTGACCTGTCCGTGAGAGCACACAAACTCGCTCGACTCTGCCGCAGCGGGATCGCCAACCTGCTGTGCGGAGATAGAAAGAAACGACAGCTCCCTGTTACTCCACCATAGCCCGACCGTAACCGTGGGCCAGGACGTAACATTACTATTAATATTCAATACCTGTACAATATTATGTTGCAGATAAAAATGATAAAGAAAATCACGTTACAGCACATACAACAAAAACATGCATTACAAGTAAAATATTCGGAATATTCAATTTTACAGATAATTTGTTCACACACACACACACACAACACACACACACACAATGCTACATTCATAAGGCTTAGTAATAAAATTAAATCATTTAAAATTTATAGTTTATTTTAAAATATATATTACTAGTTTATTTTAAAATATATATTACTTATACATATTTAACTAACTGATCAATCACTTTTTAGGGGGTGATACTCTATTGACCACAGTACGATTC